AAATTATAATACCGGGAAATTTAAAAATAATAGATAAATATTACGCCACAAGGAAAACTTGAAAATGAAATTAATTGATAAAGTAAATTAGTAAATGAAAAAGGTAATAATATAAAAATTTAAAAAGAAATAGATATGAATAATTATAATAATATATAAAAAATAATATTTTTGAAAAATATGTCCGGCATCTGCATTTTGGCTTTGGGGGAGGGGATTTGTCCCCCCCCCCGCTGCGTACGCCAATGATTTTGCTCATTGCCTTCATAAGATTACATTTCTAAGGGCTTAAATAATTTGATCAATTTTTAAACAATTAGATATTGTCTTTAGATCAATTAAAGGGTATTGCCTTGTTTTTAATGTAATTTCTAGTAATATATTATATCGATTAAGAGTAAAGTAGAAGATAATATACATTTGCATGAAATATTTGAAAAATTTTTTGCATTACATAGCCCTCTCTCTAAGGATAGGACGAATATCCATTAATTCTAAATTAGATATATGAGCTATATGTTCAATAGAAAAAGATAAAATATCAGTTTTGTAAAGTTTATTATAACCTTGGAACACACGACACTTTCTGTCGTTTCAAACATTCCGATTGATATTATTTTGTTAATAAGTGAATAAAAATTCGATTCGGCAGCTATATGATATATATTATTAGGTATTATATTTGGTTCATTATACGGTTAATTCCGGTTTGAGGCTTTGATTTAAACAACGTCACCATGAACATAAAAAAATTAATTATATAAATTGTGTACTGTGTGCGCTGTAATAGTAATCTTACATTTTATTTGGGTTGAAATGATATGGCATGTCCTTTTACAGCAAGGGATTAAATTATTTAATTTCAGGAATATATCTTAATAATTGTAAAGGAAATTTAGGTTTATGATAATTGGACCGAGGTAATCAGGAATTAACTAAAATAAGAAACAAGTCTTAGAAACGGAATCATAGTAATATTTTTATAAATAAATCTTAGTTGTAAGCCTCCATTAAAGACTTTTATAAAAATAATTAATGAATATGAGTTTTAAATAATATAAATTATTTTAAAAAAGTGTTTATTTATGCTTAATATATCAATGCCAAAAAAAAGTTATACGGATGACCAGGTGGGATCTATGTGAACCCAAGCTCCAAAAACCCTTTATAAGTCTTCAACTACTGAAAAAATAAAATTAATTTTGTACACATACTTTATTTAAAAATGTTAAGCTACTAAAAAGATTCAGGCAGAAATATCGGAATTTTTAAGTAATAATATTTTTAAAATAATTGGGGTCTACATAGCCACACTTAAGGGTTATAAATAATTAAAAGGCAAGTGGGTATGATTATTTTAAATAGTTTGATACATTTTTTGAATTTCAATGTAATATTTTGAAAATAATTATTCAGGGGACTCTTCAAATTTTTGAGGGGCCCCTATGCTACAGCTATGGATATATTCGGCATATAATTTTAGAGACCTGCAGAGGTGCCATTTGCACAGTCCAGATTTAAAAAAAAAATATTTGAAAAGTACTATTTAACAGCTAACCTTTACAATCTCAGGGGGCTCAACTAAAAAAATTTTATGGGAACAAAGCCCCCCATATTACATAATTTGCGGGCGTTTGGCCCGCTTTTACATTAATATATTATACTTTTTTAAAATTTGCTAACTCTTAATAATTATTATGAATTTCATATTTTGTCATTTATTATATTATGCATACAAAATAAACTAGCATACCAAATCAACAATTCCTGAAGAAGAGATTATAAACGACCAATCTTAATCATAGCTTCCTCAAAGATAATATAATGGAAGCTAGATAAGTAATCGTGAAAATTATTGTGGGATATTAAATTTCTAAAAGATTATTTTCTTTTAAAAATATATAAACAACTTCACAGTTTACTATTAAAAATGCAATCATATGCTCTCAGCAGCTGTAGTAATATTTTTAACTTACATTGTCACATAAATAATAAATGATGATTAATTTGCAGTAATAGCCATGACACTCACGATGTTAACTCATATTAGAATTTATTATGTTAGATAAATTGATAAAACAAAAACACTAAAAATCTTTAGAAGAAGTTATGTAAAATATATTGAAGCATTAAGTTATTTACACGCCAAGGACGGTTAGAAATGAAACATTTTAACCATAGTGATATGATGAAAGCAATAAAGATTTTATATAATATTGTCGCACCACCTAGAGTTGGTATATGATATCTTAAAATAATAGTAGTTTGTAATAATATGAAAAATATACTCGTATTATAAATTAACTCGAAACTATTTTTCAAATAAGAAAAAAAAAGCTTTCCTAAAAACACGTAAAAAAAGAGAAGAAAAGATGTTTAATTTATTACATCCATTGTGGGATAGGGATGAATAAGATGTTTAATTTTTAATATTTTTAAATAAATAGATGGCTGCAAATTGTTACTTATATTTATTATCAAAAGCATTTATTAATATTATTTATTAAAATATTAATTGTAATATATTATATAACTGTCAAATACGCCTGTAAAAGTGGAATTTTACCTAATACTTTATAGCCAATTATATATTATAGGAGTATTTTGAAAAATCATAAAAAATAGAGAACATAATAATCTCTTATATCAATATCTAACGGCATTTTTAATTATTTATTAAATTATAAAATCTATAAATTTCGGAAATAAATAATGGAGATAAAAATTATTTTGAAGCATCATTAGGAAGAGAAAAAGATTCTTCTATCGCTGTGCATTAAAAAATTTTTAAAATAATAAATTTTGAGTGTTTTTTTATTTTGGTCACCATATTTTTAAGGGTTAATAGCTGGTAAACGGTAATAGTACAAAGTTTGAAACGGACAAATTGGTACAAATAACGTTTCAAAAATTTAAAATAAAAAGTGCAATATCGGGAGGCTAACTTCACGCATCCTCTCCATTATGTCCAGCGTCTACATGACAGAGTTTTAACTGGATGCAAACTCCCTTCAAAAACCTATGCCTAACCTTCCCCACTCTCACCCCCCAAAAAGCCCCCGCCACCTACGGCGGCGATGTTTCCTTATTTTTAATTTCACCTTTTAATTATAATGATATTCTTTCAGAAAATTTAAAAAGAATAACTTAAATTATTTTATCTTTACTACCAACTATCGACATTTTGTGATAAAAGAATTATTTTTTAGATAATATTTTTTTACAACGAATTCATTATTATAGCATTATGAGCTTGCTGAAAATGTCTAAACCTTTAAATTATATTTGAAAGGATAGCAGAAAGTTTTATTTGGAAAATAATGTCTATGATTGTTTGCAATATAAAGATTTGATTAATGAATTTTATTATAATAGGTCTATAATAAAGGTATCAATTTTTATAGCAATTAATTTTGTCCTATCTCATTTAATGGATAACCCCCCCCCCCCCCCAAAAAAAAAAATTTTTTTTTTTTTTAAATTTCCCAACCTCATTAAAGCCGTCTGCCCCCTACCCCCCTCAAAAAAATGGATGTAAACTGTTCCTCCCCCTGTTCATGTAGACGCTGATTCTGTCCTTCCGCCAATAACGACTGCCCACGAATTTGAATATTTCTTTCTCCTTACTTTTCTTCCAAAATATAAACTACACATATCACAATACAATCACTGCCCCCAGTACATTGTATTGTAACTACACATACTTTGTTATTTAAAAATTTTTCATTACAATTTCTAAAGATATTTAACTAAAATAATCCAAAATTTTTTCTAATTTATATCCATTTATTTAATTTAGTACTAAATATTTTTAAGAAATATTCTTAAATATTTTTTTATAAAAAATTGATAATTAACTTTACTAAAAATATTTTAACTGTTTGCAACGTCAAACAATAGGATATTATTAATAAAATTAACCCCTAAATGATACAACTACTATACATAACACTGTTCCACACTTTCTCACTACCACCTCGAATAATAATGATCACTGTTTAACACTTTTCACTACCACTTCCAATAATGATGGTCAATTGTTTCACAATTTAAACCATTACTTCCAATAATGACGGTCAATTGTTCCCCTACCACGTCCATAACCACAGTGCTCCATAAAATTTAAAAAAATATATTATCAAAATAATAGGTCTTTACCTTTTTTTAATCAACGACACCAACTATTACGTTGTCCGCCTCTATCCTGAATATTATTTACAGAAATAAACCACAATATTACTAAAAATCATTTATTTATAATGCTGCAATAGGGGGAGGATCGCAATAAAAATCGAATGTATGAGGAATTAAAATGTTAATCTTAATAGAATTAAATTTTATTCAAGAAATTTCATATGTGTTAAGTTTTTCATTATCAATTCATATATATATTATTTAGTTTTAATTTCTTTAAAAATAAATTGAATATAAACTAAGTCCAATTTACATACCACATTTGAACAAAATAGAAAAATAACGCTTTAAACAGTAAACATACCAATCAAAAATAAAATATTATTTAACAATAATATAGTAAATAATAATCACAAAGGAAGCGAAATTATAATTTATAATAATTTTAAATTTAAAAAAAAGGAAAAAAATATTATACACTTCAATTTGCATCCCTTTTATAGGGAAGCTATTACTCATAAAAAATAATTCGAAACAATAATAAGTTAATATATTTTTTTTAAAATTACAAATATCATTATTATGCTTAAAATAATAACTATAAACTTGACTTTACAAAAATCAACTTTTATAAATCTAAATATAAAATATTATCGTCGTATAACTAAAAATATATAATATAATCACGTAACTCTTATTCACGATGATAAACTGCAGTGTTTGCCGTCATTCTTAATACATAGCATAGCACTCTCAACTATAGTGCAAAACATTTTATCATGTAAATTTAAATCGAAATCTTTCATAAATATGACAGTGACAACAATATATCATCAATCATCTTATTTTATGATTGTTCAGCTAATCCCAAGATGATGGTATCAAAAATATTTAAAAATTTTCTCATTGTAAAAGTAAATAGTTTTATTAATTTATTTATAAATAAAAATTATATTCTTTTGACGATAATGATATATATATTATCTAGATAAAATGTCATTTAAACCCTTTTTTATTGTATAATTAATAAGAAGGAAAATGGGTATTTTGTTATAAAACCAATAATTAATCTGTCATAACTTGTAATAAAATAAATTTTGACACCAGAGTTTAAAAGTAGCGCGCTACCGCTATTGCTATTTGTCAAAAAAGTAGCTCGCTATTAGCTACTATTTATAAAAAAAATTTACAAACAAATTTTTTTATTTTTAGCTTATAATGTTATTGTATAGTAAATATATAAAAATCAACATTTATAAATATAGAAATATAGTTAGTTTTGATTATAAAAAAATTTATGTAATTAAAATAAATATATATGGAAATTTGTTGCATTTTAATAATAAAATCATATCAATATTATAATCCCCAAGTCTAGAGCGATGATCAGAAAGTATAAATTTTGCATTAAAAATAATCTCTCGACACTAGCACTTGAGGGTAAGGGCGTATTTAATCTTGTACACATATTTTTAATATAAGATAAATTATCAATAATTTTATTTGCAAGTACATCGTATGTCTGGCATCCTATTATCATTCTGAGGGCTAATGCCACATATCTTTTTAAAGTCCTAGGGTCTAGCCAATGACCTGTGATTGCCAAATAAGCTCAAAAATATTTAATTAGATCAATTTATAAATATAAATAAGTTTTTACCTTCTGTTATGTGTTCAACTATCTGCCGTGAAACATATATGATATCTCTGATAACTCTACTATTAGAGCATCTTTCATCATTTTAAAGTTATCTGCTATTTTATTCATTAGTGTCTAGCTGCATAAAATTATTGTACCAGGGGATAGAATTTTAATCATCATGGTAAATGATGGATTATTAACCAAGGACATTGGCTGAACTGTATAAATGATAAAATCAACAATAACTATCAGCCAATTTCTGAGAAATATTGTCATTTGCATTATTAATTAATTTGGTTTGAATTGAATTAGTCTTTTTGGATGTAGAGTCACCTATACCAATATTATTTAGATGTTTCTTTATTTCCTTAAAACTCATGAACAGTATAAAATAAAATTATTAGAATATATAAATGACAATTTACCTTTAGGTGTTTCTTGAGGTTATAGCTACTGGATTGATTTGAGGAAATATTTTTTTTACATTTTAAACAAATAAATTTGAAGCCAGTTTTGGATTATATGTATATTTTAAAAAAATTTCAAATCAAGGAAATGGGAAATTTGTATTATAGCTATTGAACATTTTCCTCCCTGGTATATTTCATTAATATCATTGTCTTAATCACTTTAGATGATTTGGATATTATAGCATAGGCGATGGCATTTTAAAGTATTGACACATGATTTAGGGTTATAATACAAATGAAAATATAAATTACAAATTGAAAATATATTTCAATTTCAAAATTAAATAGTAAATCATAAAAATTATAATTATGATATTATATTTAAATTTTCATGTTTTATACCTACCTTCATTATATTTTTTGAAAGTAGCTATAGCGTGCTAAAAAATTAATTAATTATAAAAAAGTAGCCGCTATTAGATATAGCTACCAAAAAAGTTAGTGATACCAGAAATAATGCGTTTTAAATCTATTATAAATTAAATTTTGTAATATATTTTTGGATGATTTAAATTTATTTTTTCTTATTGTCATAATGCAATCTATATTATGCTCAAGTTTCTATATCAATACATTAATTTTCATATCAATTTTTTTCTGAATATATTCTCTATTTTTATTAATTACTCAGAATCACAAGTTTTTACTTTCTATACCCCGCAATTCACTTAATGTTTTGACATTTTAACTTCTAATTTGATAATCTAGGATCAGAACTATTTTTTCACTAGAACTGAGCTGTATCTAATTTAATTACCTGGCCAAGCAATATCAGATCTTTTAAAAAAATTCTTTTAATGTAAATTTTAAAAATTTATTCCAGGTAATAGACATGGGAGAGGTTAGGATTGGACCCCCCCCCCCCACCCACCCAAATTTCCCTTATAGAAAACATGATTAGGTTAAATATGTTTCTATTAAAGATCTGCAAAGCCTTGACAAATAAGCCAAGTTGGACCTAATATTTTAAAAAAATTCAGGTTAGACTGGGCTTTTTTAAATATAATATTCAATTTGTGAAATAAATTGATATATTTAGAAACAAGGTGCCAAATATCTTTTATTTGTAAGATAACATTTTTATAATTAAAAAAATATTAAAATTTTTGATGTTTAAATAAATTTGACAAGACTGGGTGGCTAAAGAATTATTTTATTATTGAGCCAAACTTTTCATCATAAATAAAATAAAATTTGTTCTGTATCAGGCAGGGTGGCTGTGCCTGAAAAAAGGCACAATGCTGATCACTAATTTCCATAATACTTTTATATTCATATCTAAAAAAAATTCTTTTAAATTGATAAAACTCCTTCCATAATTTTCTATATCTATTGGAGATCTGCAAAGCCTGGCCCATTAAAATTTTACAAAAGTTTGCCCTTGACTTGTTAATTTTTTTGTAAAAATTTTTTGATTGTATTTTTAATATGTAATTTTTTCCCAAAGTTAACTTATATCTCTTCTATGTGGCAATCTTTTTCTACAATAATCCAGGGTTGAAGTTGTGGGGAGAGGGTAGGCGCACAGTGTTCCAACCAATTTAAAAAAAATTAGCATGCATCGACCTGGAATTTTTAAAAAATGACCCTTCCAAAAAATTAAATATTTTTTTATAATAAAAATACCATAAATGCAATAGGAAATAAAATAACATAGATACCCTAACTACACTGCTATCATTTATTGCCTATTTAAAAGATGTGAATAAACAGGATAGTGTCTGGGTCATTCCATATCAAATCAATACTTTACAACTTGGCCATCTCAGATTTTGCTAAAATTTGGTGTATAAGTTAATGAAGTATTGTGATTGACGAATCCAAAATATTAGCCCCTTAACTCTACTAGAACCGGAGATATGAGGCCTCAAAGTGGCTCTATTTGGTCATTTTTCGAAAAAAATGATTTTTAAAATTGGGATAACTTTAATATTAGATAAACTATATATCTATCATGGCTCATTTTATAGCTCTATGTAAACTCTTCCACATATTTTAAACAAAATTAATTTTAAATTTATAAAATCTTTTAAATTGCTGTCAAAAATTTGTAATTAATTTTTTTAAATGTCAGTATAAATTTTTTCCCCCCAAATTTCAGATATTTTGTAAAAAGTGCCAAGAACTGTTCATATAAAAATTTTCTAAAAGAAGTTAAGTAGGAAAAATGCTTAAAATAAAAATACCGCTAAATGGCGTTATAATTTTAATTAGCCTAAGATTTAATTTTTGAAAATATAAGTCAATCTACCTTTTTTTATATTTCATAAAATATTTGTCGAATAAAATCGCATTTTGGCACAAAAATACCGCTAGATAGCGCAAGTAATTTAAAATAGCTAAAATCCTCATTTTTGTAATGCCAGTAGATGATTTTATTTATCTATAACTGAATTAATTCATAGTAAAATTACTCAGTATAGAAACTTAGTTATATTAATTTAAAAAAATTAATTACTAATTTTTGAACGTAGTTTTAAAAAAAATTATAAATTAAAAATTAATTTTATTTAAAATAAGTTTACTTAGGGCTATAAAATGAGCCATGATAGATATATATAGTGCATCTAATATTAAATTTATCCCAATTTTAAAAAATTATTTTTTTCGTCTGAGATGGTCGGGTTGTAAAAAGTGATTGATTTGATATGAAATGACGCCTACAAAACATGGATCATATTGATTCCGATAAACCAAAATGATATGTCAAAACTATGTTCAAAAACATTAGAGTTATTAAAATAGAGAGCGAAATCTTCCCCATACTCTACAAAATTTTACAGTTCCTGAAAAGTCGATCTCTATTTGGTATGATTTTAAAAATTTATGTTGGGTTTTAAAATTTAAAATATAATGGTGAGTTTTTTAAATCCTGGCTGTGCTTAACATTTTTATCTTTGTTAAAAATTTTATAAACTTGAATATAATAAATATTTAATTTACCTTGTTAAAATTTAAAAAAAAGGATATAAAAGATATATTAATTATTGAAAGGATATTTAACTTGGTGATAAATGCTAAGAAAAAGTTAAATGATATAGCATTAAGCAAGAGTTTTTTATTCAAAATAAAATTAAATTAAAATTCCAAGATATCATAAATTTTTTGAAAAATATATACTTAAGCGAAATAAATTGCTCTATATTATTTTAATAGATTAAGAAAACTATAAAATTTAAAAAAAAATGAAAATACGCCATCTAATGGGTAGAATTCTATTTCTTAACTTTAGGAATGAATAAATTAGAGAAAATTTTATTCTATGCAACTAAAAAATCTCATATTTTTAATCTTTTCTTGACATTTATTTTAATTATAAAAAACTATCTTATTAATATTAATTTATTAAATCTATAAGCCGTACTATATTTAGTTATAAATAGGGTTCAAAACTGAACCTGAACCCAACCTCTAAAAGGCGGGTTGAATCTTTTGATATATCAACTCTTAAGTAATTTTGATTGTTAGTATCAGTAAGTATTTTCAAATATTACCATTTAAGCATGCTAACCACCCAGGTTAGCATATGGAAGTGTTCCCAGCCACAGAATTTATTTCTTCTACTTATATAATTTGTCAGAAGAAAATATAGAAAATTTTTTGGAAAAGGGACGAAATTTTAAGATGTGGATCAATTTACATAATTCTAACAAGGTTTTGGGTGAAAAATTTGAATAAGGTTTTAAAGGTAAGCCGAATCAATATTATAATATCTGACTAACCCTGAACCATCATCTTTGTCTGAACCTACCCTCTTCATTACGGTTTGGATTTCATGTTATAAATGATTTATTTTATGTTTCGTCCATCAATATTTCTTAGCCGAGCAATATCTCTAGCTGAGCCACTTTTGCAGTCATGCGATATATAGAACCACTGAAAGAAAAAAGCAATTTGTTAAATATATGAGGAGTCCTTAGTCAAGAAACCAAACATAGGAAACTTGAGTGATGAGTCTTTGTCCGAAATAGAACCCACTTTTTGAGAATTATAAGTTTATCAAGTCTTCTGATAAATCTTTGTGCTTGCATCCTAATTGTAGGAAAATAGAGATAATCATAAAATATATTATTTTCGGATTTTGCCTAGAAAAACGAAATGATCAACCAAATGTGCCTGGTCTAGTATTTGGCTCATCTCGTTATATTAACCATTAAATTCATTTTTTTAAATTTACAAAATATTTTTAATAAATAGCCTTAAAAAATTAATATATTTTTAGCATCAAGGTTTTATACATGCCAATTATTGTGCCACCAAAGTAATATTTTGCAAATTTTTTAGTTTACATTTAAATATATTAGCCAGTTATTGATGTTCATAAAATCCGAAATATAGGAATATCTGCTCATATAGATTCAGGAAAAACAACATTAACAGAAAGAATATTATTTTATTCAGGAAGAATTGATGAAATGCATGAAGTTAATTAATTTATTTTTATTCAATTACTTTTTCTTAATAATTTTATGTTAGTCAAGTTATTTATTATAAAATATGCACCATTTATACTAAGTTTTTTCTTTTCTTTGCAAAATAAAAAAAAACTTCATTAATTTTATCTATTTGCCGGGAAATTTTAATCGGGGAAAATTATCCGGAAACAATGAGAAATAGGAAAATTTCACTTGAAATAAATTATACTAGGCAATATTGAATTTTTTTTCTTCAAGCTTCATGCAAAATATGTAAACTATTAACATGAATACTAATTTCATTTATTTTTGACGTTTCCCTGAGAAGATTAACATTAAGCAATTAGTCATTCCTAGAGATTATTTTTATGAAAACAAATTTTACGATCTTGTCGTTTTTATCCTTATACTAAAGATTTTTCTCATAAATGGCACATAGGATTGAACATCTATTGGCGAAATCTCGAAGCTTAGTCAATATTTTCCTGGCTATAATGTTTAGTTAGCCGTTTTTAAAAATCGGCTCAAATCGAGCCGTTTAACAACTTTATTACATAAATTAAATTATTATTTATGGAAATACTATTTTATTAATTTATAATTCTTTTCGCATTTAAAAATAAATGATTTATACCAAATATTTACATAAAATTTGATAATATTATCAACAAACAACAAGTTACAACATTTATAATATACTCTAAAATATGAAAATTATTCGGAATTAGGAATACAACTAACCATATCAAAATAAATTAATGTATAAACGCTCGTAATATGGCAAATTTTTAAAATTATCAATTGTTGAATAATATTTTTTAACATTGTAAAACGATAGAATTATATAACTAGACTAAAAAACTTAACCATTAGAACGTATCGGAATTTTTTTTAATAATCGTGTTTTCTTTTTTTTAAAATTTGAAGCGATTATGTTCCATAACTTTACAAGTCCTAGACAATGACTTAATATTCATGTCTAAACAACGCCATATTTTTAGGTTAGGGGCAAAGATAATATAGGAGCAAAGATGGATTCAATGGAATTGGAAAGGCAAAGAGGCATAACTATAAAATCAGCAGCCACTTATATTAAATGGAACAATCATTTTATAAATATCATTGATACTCCAGGTTATATAAGAAAATTTGAGATTTTTTAATTCAACAAATTTTGATTCGTTAATATAAATGTGAAAAAATGAAGACTTTTACTAGAAGTAAGGATTAGGTTTTAATGATCACAAGGTCATGGTCCGGTCTTTAGCTAGGACCTGACCGATGCACTCGGGCCGGACCACCATCCTTAAAAAGATCGATATATAGCTAGATCCTAAATTTGTTATTTTAAAAGTATTTCGTTTTTACCGAATTTAATTCTTATTTTATCATTTTATTAAATATATATAAGAGTATTATGTTAACAACATAAAATCATTTATGAATAATATAATAAATAATAAAAATGTTTAATTTAAATAAATGTTTATGTCCTTGTTTTGCAGAATTGCAATGGAAGGAGTGAAGAGGGACTTATTGGAAGCAGTAGATCTATTCCATTCTTTAGCCAAGAGCCCATGTACACTTTTGAAAACCTGTTTCTTTTTTTATGATAAGATCTTCTGCTTTAGAAAATAGTTGTTCACACGGAATAGATGTTGCTGGAATTGCTAGAAAAATCATAGCAGCTAGTGAGAGGACTAGAAATTTTAATATTATATTTAATATTTACAATATTAAAGACATTTCACTATTGGTTTTCCACCATACTAATATGCCATCCTTTAATGAAACAAGAGGCTCATTCAAATAAGTATGAAGTTTTGAAATGTTTTCTTCTATGATTTCTGCAGATATAAAAACCCCTTCCGAATCTCCTTTTTGGGATATAATAGTTTCTGAAAAATAATTAATTGATCTCCTCCAGGCACAAATATTTGAAAGTTATGATTTAATAAATAAATTTTAAAAATGTACCCTGAGAAGATACTCCTGTATTTTTTTACTCTTTATTTTCCTTTTTGGTCATATACTAAACTCTATAATATTGGACGTGTAAACTTATTATAATCTCGATTGTTAAAACATGATTTACTGAATAATAATTATTTGAGATATTTATGCATTTCAACATGTTATTTAGAATTTCTTGTCTTGTTATTATTATATTTTAAAATTATTAATAATTTCATTATTTATATTCCCTATATATAACATAGAAATCCCAACTGTAGGATATTTGGATCCTAATAAATCAAGTGTGGTTTTATAAAAGGGCTTAAGAAAACCTACGCTATTTCACATTCATTAAAAAAAGCCCTTTAAATTGTATATAATTCAAAAAGAATTTCTTCCATAGCATCCATGTTTTAAAAAATTATAAATTTTTAAAATAATCCAATAAAAATTTAAATATCATGAATTGTATTCATCATTAAATAGGAGCTATTCTATCTAATAATGATGTCAGAAAGGATTTTAAATTTTATAATACCCTTATTTTTACATATTTGTAATATGCTTGGTTTATTTTGGGAGATTTATTTAGAGAAAAACTGCCTCTACACTTCTCTCTAGGATAGTTTTATAATTGATGATAAACCTTCATGAGATATTATATTTGGAATATGAACCCAACACCTTAAGTCTTTAAATGTTTGTTTCTTATACTGAAAAATAACTCTGGTTTTTAGAATCTGGCGTTATCTGTAGTGCAGGTCAGTATATTCTCCTGATAGTTTTATAATTGATGATAACCTTCATGAGATATTATATTTGGAATATGAACCCAACACCTTAAGCCTTTAAATGTTTGTTTCTTATAGATTCTGCAAAATAACTCTGGTTTTTAGAATGTTACTGGCGTTATCTGTAGTGCAGGTCAGTATATTCTCCTCCAATTGATATACAACAATTACTTCTTTTATAACTATGGATATTTCCTCATAAGTATGAAAAAATGGGATATGGTTTATATCAAGTAATATATTTTAGTGTGCCTGTGCAGTAATGGCTATGAATGGAATTTATTTCTACTCACATACATATCTGTAGTAAAAATTAAAGGAATCATTATTATTTAAATTCTCCTTTAAGGAATTCTTTAGTTTTATAAAATTATTTATATAAAATTTTCTAACTTTGTTTTTAGACCAGATTGTAGTAGAGTTCAAATTTATAACTAAATTATGAAGTAATGAACTTTCAATTGTCTTCATTGGCAGACAGTCTTATTAACCACTTTATTATTGATTAGTTCAAATTCAAACTAATTTACTTTGAAGAAAGTGACTTTGTGCTTGTGAATATTGAAATTAGGAGTGGATTGTATTTTTAAGATATTTTATCATAAGTATAAATGTTATATTTTATCAGGGTCTATTTAAGGTACCTAATTATTTTTTATTAAGAATAGGGTTAAATTATTTTGACAATAAATTATTCAGGCAGTTTCATAAGATAGAACTATATAAATAAGGGCCAAAAGATTTTGATAATAAAAATACTATTTTGATTAATTTACCACTCAAAAAAATTATAAACAATTATTTTGTTACTTGTTATCAATACATTAAATTTGGTACTGTGGGGAACATATACTCTGTTTTTTATTGGGGCTAATTAAAATGTTCTTACAAACTTATAGTTTTCATATTTCAAAATAAAAATAAACTAAAAATTCATAAAACCCAAAATAACTCCTCTAGAAAATAACATAAAATATAATATACAAAAAAATTATATTAATTGAATAGTAAAACTTAAATATTAACGTAAAAAATAAATTATGGTCCTCAAAAAATATCGTCCAACACACATTACAAACTATCCTTGTATTATCTTACTCCTATACTTTATTTATCTTGCTCAAGTTCTTAGTTACACTTTATAAATTTCAGACACAATAGTTGATTATAATTTTTATTTCAATTTTTCTCCAGAAAGTCAAAATATTACAATTTTTAAATTCATTAAAAATAACAAAATTTTTTAATAATTTTTTTTTCCGGTCATGGGTTACTTTATTTGAATATATACTGATATGATATGATGTCAAAATGTATTAGCAAATAATTAATTTTTTAAAAAGGTAAAATAAATAGAGGTGAAAAATTGTAGAAATAGAATTTACGGGAAATATTTTCTAAAATTTCACATAATGAATTTTTTTAATCATCGAAAAAAAGTATTTATTTCAAAAATAATAATCATTTTTATTAATATTATTTAATTCCCTACCAATCAACTATATTGCCTTATAATATACATGTATCTTAAGAATGGCATAAAACTGGGACATGTATGAAACTAAGTTTAAAGTATTTTTGATATTGATTAGGACATGTGGATTTTACGATTGAAGTGGAGAGAGCATTGAGAGTTTTGGATTCAGCAGTATTGGTATTATGCGCAGTGGCTGGAGTCCAATGCCAAACACATACAGTAGTCAGGCAAATGAACCGTTACTCTATCCCTTACATTGCTTTCATCAACAAGTTGGATCGAACCGGGGCGAACCCTTATGCAGTTTTACAACAAATCAAGTTTCAATATATTTTCACATAAATTTTGATTTTCCCTATTTAAGATATTTACATAGAAAATAAAATCTTCTTGGTTAAAGCTTTTATTATTTTTTCATTTTTGTTATAACCAACTTTGTTAGGAACCAAATAAATGAAAATTCCGCTTTCTTGCAAATACCCATAAGTTATGGGGATAATAACAGAGTTGAGGGAATTATAGATCTCATTCGATCTCAGAGCGTTTATTTCAAAGACCCGCATGGTACTCAGGTCATTAAGACACCTGACATACCTCAGCACATGGCTTCATTATTCCATAAATATAGGTATCTAAAAAAGTTATTCAAATTTTTAGATACTTTATAAGGAATATTTATTTGAGATTTGTGTTTAACAATATTTTTTGTGATTTTGGTGTTCAAACCTATTTTTTTTAAATTTACATAAAGACATTGTTAAAATAATGGTTTTTTTAATATGATAATAGGAGAGAATTGATAGAGACTTTGGGAAACGTGGACGAGGAAATGGCATGTTATTACATAAACGAGCAATGCCCTTCTCCCGATATTATAGAAGCAGCAATTAAACGTTCAACTATACTAAGAAAATTTGTTCCCGTAATTCTTGGTTCAGCGCTTAAAAATACTGGTGTTCAAACTCTGTTAGATTGTGTCACATTTTACCTTCCTGATCCAACGCAAAAAGAAAATTACGCTTTAGATAATTCTAAGTTATAAATTATTGATAGTTTATACATTTTTTATTTTTGAAATTTAGGAAACCAGTTGAAAAGATATTGTTGAATCCAGATATGGACAAATCCTTACCTTTTGTAGCTTTAGCTTTTAAATTGGAGGTGCGTGTCTTATTTTTAAGGAAAAACATTAAAACATCGTTTCACTGATTGATTTGTGTAGTAAATTTTCAAATTGGGCAGTATTTTTATTGTCAATAGATTAATATTTTGTATAGTATTTATAATAAGTTATTGTATAAAAAGTTAAGTTTAAAACTAAAATTTTTCAATATTTATTTGAAAGGTGTTTAGTGTAAAAATATCTCTTTTTATTATAAATTATCATGTATATTATATAAAAATTAACATATCAAATATAAAAAAATTACTAAATTATCAAATAAATATCGAGTATGAGTTCCATTATGGAATTGCAGTTTTTATTGAACATTGTATCATTGAGCAAATCGATATGAAAATAATTTAAAATGACATTATTACACATAAATAATTTAAATAAGATAGGGCAATTGCGGAGTTCTTGTTTATAAAGTAATTACTGGATTTGCCATAAATTATTTTTTCACAAGCCATTTTTTCTAATATTCTTAACAATAATTTTAAAATGGAACAACTGTAAACATTCTCTTAAAGTATTTTCATCAATTACCCTAATTCATGCTTCTATTGTATTATTCGTGATAGGAGTTTTAAAATATTTAACAGTCAGGAGCAACTATTTCTGAGTTAATATATAATTCATTTGTCTACAAAAATAAAGTATAGCTCTATTTTAACAACATAAATATTTTTTATTTAATCTAGATATATGCCTGATTTTTTGTTTCCATCCTCACCAATACCAGGTTCATAGTATAGTCAAACCGGTATTATTTGGGGACCGTTCTTTCTAAGATTTTTCCCTAATTCATCTAGACTTTTACTTTTTTTTAAAAAACACAATATTATCTTATAGTTTTAGTTTAGCAAAAAAGTGAGATTACATTCAACCATTTTAAAATAATTTTTTTTTAATATTAATTCATCAAAATCATGAGTAAAATTATGTATGTAATATATGTTATTTTATACATAGTTTACATGTTACAATTACTTTATATAATATCATTATTAAGTTAATAAAACACTAATACTAAAAAAATATAATAAGAATGTATATAAGTGTGGTTGAAATTTGGTTAAAAATATTTATATTTTTTAATTTATTTGCAAACAAAATTATTTGTCTTGCAAATATTGTTACAATAATATAACGTATTTATATATTCTTATTAATTTACAAGTTAAAAAATTTTTATATCAAACGAATTAGAAAATTTAGAAATGTTCTCCATTAAATCACACAACTTTAGGTATAAAATTATCATAATATGGTTAAGTACAAAATAAGAATAAAAATATAAAATTAACTAAATAAAATAAAATAAGATGTTATCTTTGTTTATTTAGTACAATATTTTATTTACATGGCATTTGATAATGTCATCTTTGATATTGTGAAAAGTTCCTTTAGAATTTTTTTTAGCTATTTCCTTGATTAATTTTTTTAATTAACGATGACTCGTTATATTTGTTTTCTTTAATAATTTTGTTATTTTACATGAAAAGTTTTTATGATAAAATTTTATTAGTGATGCAAAAAAGCCCGATTCTGGTCTATTTTAAAAAACCGCCCGATTAAGATTTTAACCAAAATAACATTATGTAAGCCTAAAGATTTTACACATAGCTGGCATAAATGCTTAGACATCTATTTGCCAAATCTCGATGCTTAGATGATATTATTTTAGCTAAAATCTTAATCGGGCCTTGTTAAAAAATAACCCAAATCGGACTTTTTAACAACACTAAATTTTATAATATAAATAAATGAGTGACACAAAAACAACAAATTCCCATTTTGTAGAGGTCTTACGCAAATGGAAAAAAATTAAGAATCTGCCCACTTTTCAAAGTTGATATTTATCAAGGCGTTTTCTAATAGTAGTAAATAGGAATTTTATTGGGACTCAAAATTTAGGTCAAATTAGAGAGCCACCCGAATTATCAAGAGCCCAAATTAGACATTTTTGACTGTAAATAGATAAATCTGAGTGGTTTCATTTCATCACACACTTACAACGTTAATGTTTAGAAATAAACTTCCCAAGTAAAAAAATTTGAAAATTAATTATTAATTGAACAAAAATTTTCAATATTTACCAAATGTTTTTTATACTGCCCATTTTGATCAATTTTGCTGGATCAATTTTGCTGCCTTATTTAAAAACGGCCCGAATGAATTGTAATATATACACACACATTTAGGTTGGCAAGCACGGAAACGTTACTTACCTTAGAACCTATCAGGGAGCTTTGAATAAGGGCGACACTTTGCTCAATACACGAACTCGTAAACGGGTCAAGGCAAGTCGTGTCATTAAGATGCACAGCGATGAACTTCAAGAAGTCGCCCACATCCCACCTGGGGACATCTGTGCCATCATTGGAAACATTGGTATTCTTTATGTCATTGTTTAATAAATGTGTCGCTATATTTACCACCTTGATTAACATTCAACGCTTCAAATAGGAAAGTGGGGTCTAGGGCCACCTAAAATTAAACTATTTAAAGGGGCTAAATTTTGTTTTTTATGCATTTAAAAGTGAATTATAATATTTTAAATAGTGTAAATATTTACATACATGATGCTTAATATTACCTAGACCTGTGCACCGGCTGTTGGCTGGCTACCAATATTTTTGATCATGCAGTAAATGCTGTCGTTTATAAAAATCACCCGGGCGGCAGGCGTATAAATATTTTAAAAATAATTTCATTTTTCATACATTATTCTAATGATTGGTCAACATCACTGTTGTAATTATATAATGTCATCAGAAAATGCCCAAATACAATAGATCTAGCATTGGATATGTTATATCTTGTTAACATGCCTTGATACCCTTTTTCAAATTGGCGATTCCAATTATGATAATAACAATAACCCACTCAAATGAACATTATGTGTTAGATGATAAGGGTAAAACCTCCATTTCCCAGACTCAGATTTGCCTTTCTCCCTTATCATATTAGGGTACCATTTTTAAAAGTTTATCAGAATGCAGAATCTATTTATTGGCCCGAGTCCGCCTGCAGCTCCATGGCAATTTTTCGTAGATATGGAGCCGGCCTTTTGCCCGAATTTTTATAAAATAGGGAAGAAACATTTTACAAAAGATATTTATTTTAATGTTATGCTTTAAATTTAAATATTCAGCAATAACTTTGATAATTTAATAATTGCAAAATATGATATGAAAATGAATAGTAAATATTTCCCACCTCGTAAACTCATTTTATAATTGTGGTATTCAATCAGGCAAAGAAAAGGAAGAACAGGAAGAAAATATAACATTATTGTTTATCCAGCCACGGACCAGGCCTATATTTTATTGATGTTATTGACAGGCCTGTTATGCAGGAATTTAAATATTGGGAACTTATCAAAAAAGAAATAATTAAGACAATGGTTACAAAGAATAAATATGCCATTTTAGTTTACTATATTTGTAAAAGTTTTATTGGATGTTTCCCTGGCCTATACCTATTCTTTCTTAATCTTTGTTGGCGACATTTTATTTGGCTACTTCTTGATTACCAGAAAATATCCAATACGAAAAATTACCTATTGTAGATGTCAAAAATAGGCAAAGATAAAAACAAGAATATATATAAAGGATTCGTGAAAAGCACTTAAAAAATAATAAAATACAAAACACCCACATTATGTTTTGTTAATTATAGGAAGCACAGGCGACACTTTCGTTAGCGGTGAGGGTGTGGAAGGACTTAGCTGTGAAAGTATGTTCGTTCCTGAGCCCGTAGTTAGCATGTCCATAAAACCTGATCCAATATCTGCTTCCTCTAACGACAATGGCACTCGCCGATTAGAGGCATTTGGTAAGGCAATGACGCGATTTGCTCGCGAAGATCCCACTTTCCGTGTCGTTTTTGATGAAGAGGCTCAAGAAACGATTGTGCAAGGTATGGGTGAGCTACATTTAGAAATATATAAACAGGTTCGATTACATTTATTTTTATTTAAATATAAAAATGATTATCTCGGAGATCGTTATCTTTAATGACCTACGGATTTATTATACAGAGTGAATATTTATTTTTAAATTATTTTTTTAGAGGATGGAAAGAGAATATGGAGTGAAGTGTATAATGGGGGCTCCCAAAGTTGCATTTAGGGAAACGATCACCACCAATTGCGAGTAAAGTATATATATTTTATTGCTTTTAATCATTCATTTATAAATGAACTTAAAGATTTGATTACCTCCACAAGAAACAGCATGGTGGTTCCGGGCAATATGGCAGGATCATAGGAAATCTCGAAGTTTTTTTTATATACAAAGTTTAAATGTTTATTTATAGCCATTGCCTGCAAATGATTACATCAAAACCGAGTTTGTGGACAATACTGTAGGAACAAATATTCCTAATCAATTTATTTCTTCCATTGAAAAAGTTTTACTAATGTAATATAATAATAATTACAGATTTTTTACTTTCAGGGATTCAATCAAGTTTGCCAAAAGGGATTTCTCTCTGGTCATAAAATATCTGGAGTTAGGTTTAACCTCCTTGATGGTTTGCTTCCTTTTATCTCTTAAAACGTTTCTAATTATTTTGATATATTTTTTCACATAGAAATAAATATATTTCCAGAGTTTGTTAGAGTTAAAAATGGTTTCGGTTCGGAATGTTTTCAGTATATTTTTCCGCTTCCGGGTTTGAGCTGTTAATAATAAGTAATGTAGAAACATTTAATAACTAAATAAACTTTCTAAAATGAATCATAGAAGAGGTTTAACTTTTATAATACACATAAATTATCCGTTATAAAAGGGGTTCTGATCCCGAATTCTTATTAAGGGCATGTTTTGGTCCCTTTTCTATTTGATAATAATATTAGAGTGATTCGAATTTAAAAATGATATAATTGGTTTTAATTGATTATTTATAGATATATAAATTGTAACGTAAAATATTGTTAGGTATTACAGTTTAAGATTTGTTAAAGTAACACAATTAATTATAAAAACTGTTACTTTTTAAAAAATACCAATGACCACTTTATTTTTTTAGAAAAACTTGAATTTTTTAAATTATAGGAGATCATCATATTGTAGACTCAAATGATATATCTTTCGTAATGGCCGCTTTCGGGGCTATTAAGCAAAGTATATTTACTTTTTCATGAATATAGTTTTATAATAATATTTAGCATTCGAATATGGGACATGGACTATTATTGAACCTATTATGAAAGTCGAAGTAAATGTTCCATCTGAATTTCAAGGCATTTTAATAGCTACGCTAAGTCGTAAAAATTCTGTTATAATAGCGACTAATCAAGCTCTTGTATATTTCACTATGATTTGCGAAGTTTGAATTAATATTTTGAAAATTTATAATTTTCTAGCGAAAAATTAAAACCTCCAGTATTTTTTACAAAATTTTTGGTATTTTTTTTTCAATTTTACCAGTATAAAATTAATATTTGACCAATATGGAATAATATAATAACAGCATTATATACAAAATTATACAGTATTTTTTTAAAGAAAAAAAATTGATAAAAATATATTTTGATCAGTGAAACGGTTTGTTAAGTAGCTTCTTTATAACTAATTGTTATATTACCACTCAAAATGAATTAGTAATTAATTTGAACTGAAATTGAAATTAGTTTTTTTATTGTAATTTTAGATCATTTTATATTTACAAAATTTATCGATCAACTAGTGATAAAAACAATAACGCGCATTTATAATTCACACACAAATTAAATACGTTAAAATAATATTCAAATAACATATATTTAATAAGAAAGATTGACCTATAATAATATTTAAATATTATAAATTTTTTAAATAAGAATTAACCTTTCAGATATAATTTAGATATAACAATGCTTCCCTTGAAGAGAATCTTTCATGCAGTTGGATTATTTGTTTCTAATTTCATATTTTCTTTCGTAAACCAATTTTATTGCTATTTCTTCATTATACTGTTGTAACTTACACCTAGATATTACCACGGCCCATACAAATACAAAATTACTGATCGCGGCTAGCGAAAAGGTTAATTATCCAAGTTAGTCTTTAGTCAGAGACTTCTTTTTCCAGGAATTGAGTTTGTAAATTGGTGTAAAATATTCTTAATAAACCACCGAATAGCGCCCTACCAACCACGTTACAATAAGTAAATAGAGAGACTAGAACTGACAAGAAGCCCAAGAGCGCATGAAAGATTCACTCCAGTGGAAGGATGTAAACTAGAATATGAGAGACTAGAACCGACAAGAATCCAAAGAGTGCATAAAAGATTCTCGTCAAGGGAAGCATTGTTATATTTGAATTATATCTAAAGGGTCAATCTTTTTTATAAAATTATTTGAATATTATTTTTAATCGATCATTCTTATTAAATATATGTTTATTTGAATATTATTTAACATATTTAATTCATATTATGTGTTAAATGTAAATGCGCGTTATCCATATGAATAGATTGTTTAACCAATTTTTTGGCTTGTCATTACGCTGTTATTAACACCTAAATTCACTTGTCCTTCATTGTTAAATTGAACAATCTATCAGTCTTTCCATGTTTAGGTGTATTTTTGAAAGTGCGGTGTTTGAATAGTTAGCCTGTTGCTTTATTTGATCTACCTCTTTTTTTATAATTACCTAGATAGGTATAGTGAACTAGAAAGATTATTCTCTGTTGCGTTGTTTTTCAATTGTATACTAGCTTTAATATTCTTGAAGTTACCAAGCGTATCTCGGATAATTCTGGTAATTCTTTGAACCCATTGCCATCACCTTGTTTATTGATATCGGTAATGCATTGTCTTAATGATTCTGAATTTCGTACTATATTGTCTCGTCTTAAAATATTTACCGTATCGTGATATATGAAAAACTTGTGGCTGGATTGTATTAGAATAATTCGAATTTTCCCAAATTATCTATGTTATTTCGAGTATATTTTAGGCGAATAGTAGATGGTGATATAACTATTACATTTCTTGTAGGTATCCCAATTAATAATTGACAAAAGATTATGATTGAATTATCATATTTTTCGTGAAATCTTTGAATGAATTTACAATTTTTTATCGTATCAATCCATTGTTCGTGGAAATTTATCTCGCCTTATTTGTGGAGATATTTGAGAGTTTATTGTTTTTTAAGTTCTCATACTTTATATATAATTAACTTCTTATTCTCACACTTAAACAAATTTCTTACTTGAAGATTTTTGAAAGTTTATTTTTATTAATTTTGTATTACACTACCGAAAAAAATAAGAAATCTTAATACATTAAAACTAAGAATTTGTTTTTTATAATAAAAAAAGAATATTAAGAATTTTGTTTTTTTCATCAAAAAAAATAGAATATCAAGAATTTTCGACGATGAAAATTATTACTAAAAAAAATAATGTTTTGTTTTAATAATAATATTTTTTCCTTACAAATGTTTGTAAAATAAATGCGCATGTGGGGAAAGCAAGAGATAGCTACAAAAGGCATCATGGTGGTTTTGGATACGGAGAAAGAAATGATGAAGGAGAGCACGTACTGAAATTTGCGCAAGCCTTCGACCTTGCCTTAACCAACACCTACTATAGGAAAAAAGTTAGTCATTTAATAACATATGAAAGTGGTACTAGGAAAACACAGATAGATTACATGCTAATCTCTCGCAGAAGATTAAAAGATGTAATAGACTGCAAAGTCATCCCAGGAGAAGATATCGCCGCGCAACACAAGCTACTAATCATGGATTTACAAATCTCAAATAAATCCACTCAAAATAAGATAAAACTGGAACCATCCATCAAATGGGGCAAATTAAAAACAATGACAGATGCCTTTGCAATCAATGCAAACATTGAAACAATAAATTGCTCACAAGTCAGTGAAAAAATATGGACAGACCTTTCATCCAGATTAATAGACACTGCAAAATCGACGCTAGGCTTGACAAGAGGAGGCAACAAATCACACAAAGAACTATGGTGGTGGAATCAAGAGGTACAAACCACTATACAGGAGAAAAAAGCCCTTTATAAAATATGGTACAAATCCAAAAATGCAGATGACAAGTCAAGATACAAAAAATCCAAGAGATTAGCTACAAAGGCGGTGGCTAGGGCCAAATCTATGGCATACGATGACATGTACGAAGATCTACATACCAAAGAAGGGCAAAATAAAATATACAGATTAGCCAAACAGCGAGAAAAGAACTCTAGGGATATAAACGGAGCTCCGAAAGTAATCAAAAATAAAGATGGGAAATTGATAATAAAGGAAAAAGAAATAATGAATAGATGGAAAGAATATTTTCAGGAGCTTCTCAACTTTAATTCCCACATATTGCATCTCGACGAACACTCCCCTTGTCAGAACCTTGTACAACCTATAACAGAACAAGAAATAATCACATGCCTCAAGCATATGAAAAACAACAAAGCTAGGGGTCCAGACGATATTCCAATAGAAAGCCTTAAAGCACTAGGAGATGATGGAATACATCTCCTCACAAATCTGTACAATAAAATACTTGGAAATGAAGAGGTCCCCCAAAAATGGAGGCAGAGCTATCTAGTTCCTATCTTCAAAAATAAAGGGGATCCACACAATTGTCAAAATTACAGGGGCATAAAACTAATGTCACACTGTCTAAAACTATACGAAAAAATAATAGAAAAAAGATTAAGAGATATAATCGAAATAGGAGAGACACAGTTTGGCTTTATGCCTGGAAGATCAACAACCGATGCTATCCATGCAATTAGGCAAATGAGTGAAAAATACAGGGAAAAGAACAAAAAGCTACACATGGTCTTTCTCGATCTAGAAAAGGCCTTTGATAGAATCCCAAGAAAACTTATCTGGTGGGCGCTACGCCACAAAAAAGTTCCCGAAAAATATATAAGAATAATAGAGGATATGTATATGGGACATACAACAATGGTCCGTAGCACAACAGGTACTTCAGCAGGCTTTACAATAGCCGAAGGAGTTCATCAAGGGTCGGCTCTCAGCCCACTTCTCTTCATTACAGTAATAGATGTATTAGCACAGTCTATACCTCAAACAGTCCCGTGGAATATGATATTTGCAGATGATATTGTGATACTTGCCGAATCCAAGGATGAAATGAAAGAAAGGTTAGTGAATTGGATAAATATCCTAGAAACGCACGGATTAAAAGTAAATAGAGAAAAGACGGAGTATATGGTGATAGGAGGAGATGAAACGGAGAGTATTGATATAAATGATTGGCAGATATCCGCAATTGAAAGCTGCAAATATTTGGGCTCCACTATACAAACAAACGGCACAATAGAAAAAGAGATAAAGAATAAGATTAATCAAGGGTGGTTAAAGTGGAGATCTTTATCTGGAGTGCTATTTGACAAAAGAATCCCACACAAATTAAAGGGAAAAATTTACAGTTCCATAGTACAACCAACTATTCTATATAGTTCGGAAACATGGCCAACCAAAGAATCAGACGAGAGAAGTCTACAAACTATGGAGATGAGAATGCTGAGGATGATTGCTGGGGTAACAAGAAAGGATAAGGTGCGCAGTACAAGAATACTAAATAGTTTAAAGGTAGTGCCCATTAAGACTAAGTTAATGGTAAACAGACTTAGGTGGTATGGGCACACAATGAGAAGGCCTATGAACTACATAGGAAATAAAGTTGAAAGATTGGAAGTGATGGGCAAACGTAAAAGAGGAAGGCCAAAACTTCAATGGGGCCATAAAGTTAGAGCCAATATAAAGAAGTATAAAATAGATAAAAGAGATTGTACGAATAACATAAAGTGGAGAGAGATGTTGAAGGAGCTTACCACCAGAAAAGGTGAAAGCTAAAGAGAAAAAAAAAAAAAAAAAAAAAAAAAATGTTTGTAAAATAAGCGAGGCGATATCGTATCAATCCTTTCTTCATTGAAATCAAAATGTTGAATTTCGCTTGTCATTTTTAACATCTAACTAATTGGACATATTTTCTTATAGTTCGATGTTGACTGCAGTCTCACTATTTCTATTCTAGAGTTTTCCATACCCGTAGCCATTTCTTAAACTTTACCAAATAGGATATCGTCAGTGGCTATTAAACATAAGGTAATAACCAATGCTTTTCAGACCTGCAATGAACCAATCCCGTGGAGAACGTTCTAGCGTATCCCCAAATGAGCAGTTAATGGCTAAATGTTATAGTCTTTGGGCTTATTGGATTATGGATTCGATTTCCTCAAGTTTTGAAGTAGCAAATTTCTACCGCTGTATTATAGTCAATGACCTGCAGAAATGCCATTTGCCCGGCCCGGATTTTTAAAAATATATTACATTTATATTTGATTTTTATAGCTACTGATGATTTAAAATATTCGGTTTTAAAATATACGGCCCGGCCCGGGTATTTTAAAACAAAAATTTAGGCCCAGCCAGAATACATTAATAAAATTACAATACGACTCGGTCTCAGATATATTTTGTGAATTTTATCAACTCAATTAATGACTTCTCCTCGGGTTTAGTAGGTTAACAAATATCGTACAATATTGAATAGGTTTTGTGTCATAAGGTAATTAGAAATAAAGGTCGTTTTTGAATCTTATTTGTAATTTTTACGGCTATGCATAAATTTTTAAATCGAGATAGGTTCTCGAATTCTTCTTACTCTTGTAGTACAATTTATGTATTCATATTTATTTCCATATTTTACTCTAGCCCCAAATATATTACCACTTAAAATGAATTAGTAAATTGAAATTAGCTCTTGTAAATTGATCCTTTTATATCTATAAAATTTATCAATCAAAAATTGATAAAAAACTCATCAAATGATAACGCTATTTACTTCACACATAATAATATTCAAATAACATATTTTATTAAAAAAATTGACCTAAAATAATACTTAAGTACAGGATTACCAGATCTCCCTCTTTTGGCATAATTTCCAGATTTTTTACTTTTATTTCTGCCAAAACGCCATCTATTGATTTACGCTTTCCCTCGATGTTTTGCGATTCCGCCCGAATTTCCTAAAAAAAATTTCCGATTTCCTAAACTTCCAATTTCAAATATAATAATATTTAATATCTTTTAATTTAAAATAAATTGTTATGATGATGAATTATTAATAATTACATCCTCTGATTCTTGATGAAAATGATTCTTATGTAAAAATGAAGAAAGTATTTTATATAATTTTTAGAAATCAATCTACATAAAATGATATTAAGTGAGCACTTTATTATTTAAAATTAACAGTAATAATTTTTGATTAATAAATGAAGTTTTCATTAAATATTTCATTTCTTTTACAATTTTATTCCTTTAATTTAAATTATAATAATTACAGTTTGAATATAAGTTTAACATCCAAAAAACATGTAAGGAGAGATAAGGAAATATGCAATACAAAATTTAATATCAGCCATGGGAGGAGTCCATGATGTAAAAAAAAATCAGCAAGGCTAAAACATATTTTCAATTTAAAAAATAAGGAATTATTAAATAATATCCAGCTATGTTTCAACAACAATAATTTATGTGATGATAATACTGCAATATCCGAAATGACATTCATCTATCACACGAAAAAGCATTCGCTTAGTTATTTATTCACAGATTGGCTATCCACTTATTGCCTATACTCTTTCCTGATTCAAGAATAGCTATAAGCATAAAATCTAGAAGAACAAAAGCCTCAAAAATAGTGTTGATCCGGAAACTAAAAAATAGTGATCTGCATCGGGCCTAATTTTGGCCCCGCCCGAAATTTTTTTTATAAAGTTTTGCCCGCCCTGAACCCGAAATTTTTTTTAAAAAATTTTGCCTGCCCGGCCCGAATTTATTTAAATATAGAAATTAATTTTTATAATTACTCAAAATACACGATATATGTTATATGGCGTCTACTTATAAATAAAATCACATATTTTTATTTTACATAAAAAATTCAACATGAAATTTATAAATTTAGATATATTTTAAAAAATTTCTAAGGCCCGACCCCACCCGGCCCGATTTTTTTTGATATTAGGCCCGGTCCAAAGCCCGTTCGGGCCGGGCCTACTTTTGCAGACCTCTACTAAGAAACACATCTAAGGATTTGAAAGAAAATAATCCATTTTCTCTTCAAATAATGGATATAAAAACATTCCCAATAATGTTGCGCTAATTTAATAGAGAAAGAGCATTTCTAAAAAAATTACAGACTCATAATCTTCTGAAAAATATAAATAAAAATATGTACTGATTTTTTAAATAATATCTATTCATTTTACAATAAAAAATAATAATATTTGACCTCCTTTATTTTACTATTGCGTATTAGGTATATTCATTTAAATAAAGAAATAATCACCAGGAAAGAAATAACGAGGAAAAAATTAATATTATTTGTTAAAAAAATTTAATTATAGTTAAATTCTCCTGCTTTTTTTGAATGAATCTGGCAACCCTGCTTAAATATATATATTTTTAAAGGATTGACCTTTCAGATATAAAACTAATAATGAAATTGGCTAGTTATAGGGGTTATTGAGGGTTTAACGATCAGCAGAGGGTTAGCCTCTCCCCATCACGGGATACAATTTTTTGAAACTAACTTCTTAGGACTAGAAAAGGTTAGAGGGGTATGCTTTGATTATATTATAATATGTCTAAGTTTACTTCAAATTTGGCTGATAAACATTTTTATAATACATTTTATTTATTTATTTTTTATTTCTTTTCTTATGTCATTAAATTTAAATCACTGGAAATATTTAAGGTTTTTAACATAAATATCAATCCCACCTTTTAAACTTCTGAAGTTACAATGAATCTAATAAGTACATCTTAAAAAAATATAAATTAATATTTAGCATAATAAAATATCATTTTATAATATCTAACCCGCAAGTTGGCATTTGTTATTATAATTTATATTTTCATATCAAAAATCTCAAAATTTAGATATAATATATATTTTAGTGTTAAATTAATTTAAATAATATACCTATTTTCCTGGTAATATAGTTATTAATAAATCAATTTAAATGCTTGGAAAAATATATGTTTACTGGTAATTCTATTTAAATACCGAGGAAAATGATTTATTTACTGAAAATTTATGAGTCTAAATATAATCACATGTTTTTATTTATACTGGTAAAATTAATGAAATACTAACAATTTTATTGATATACTAAAAATATTTTTTTAAATGCTGGAGAAATATAACAAATATTTTTTAGGTCCCTTTGAATAACATGTTTGGTTTTGCTTCGGAACTTCGTTCTATAACGCAAGGTAAAGGGGAATTTACCATGGAATATTCTAAATATGCTCCCGCTTTACCCGAAACTCAAAATAAATTAATTCAAAATTATAGCAACTCTAATAGTCAACAAATTAAATCTTCTCGAACTTCATAAACACCTTATCATTTATTAACAATTTTGTATATAAATTATAATTAAACATGGTTAAAAAAATTATTTATAGTTAGCCAATTATGTTTACATTCATATCACGTTATTTTATCATATCCCAGAGAATGACTTTTTTTAAATTGATCAGTCTAAATAAACTCCAATAAATATAAATAATGTTTCTCTGTATTGTTGGTAAAGCTTTTCATGCTAATGCATTCATATTATTTTTTAGTCTTTCTTTTTTTTCTTACCGTATTTTTTAATTTAAATTTATGAACTTAAAAAATTATTAATAATTATTTTTTTAGGCATTTTCATTTTCTACATGTAATAATTTGTCTAAAATGGCGTAACACAAAGACCTGCTGCGAGAGAATGAGGCCAAAGTTCCCGAAAATTTATGGATAAGGGAAAAATGTAGGGGTTAGGTTTTTAGTTCAGTTCCTGAAAATTTATAGGCCCTAAGAGAAAAATGCAGGAATTAGGTTTTAGTCAAAAAGATAACAATTTGGGTTCTGTTAGTAAAAAATAGTGTTCTATTTAAAAATCGGTTTGTACCCTTTCGCATGCAAATTTATTAGAATATGTATAAAGAAGAAAATTTTTTTAATATTTATTATAAAACCCCATACATAAAGCTACTAAATAAAGTTTATTCTATTATTATTATACACTCATTTATAAATTTTAATTACAGTAATAAACAATTCTAAATATGGCGACTGATGCTGACTGACCAATATCTTTAAAACAGAATATCAAAATTTGTATGCTTTAATTTTTTGGAGTTCGGTTAAGATTTGGGTGACAAATTTTTAACGATTTGGGTTCGATAAATAAGAATTAATATTATTTGCTCAGATTTGGCTTGAATTCAGTAGCAGGGTTTCATGGCTCGTTCTAAAATGACTATGCCCACCCCACCCATTCAGGCACCACCCTTAAATAATAATCCTAAGGATCGTTTTTTCCGCTTACACTAAGTGGAATCTTTTCTTCTACCTAATTGCACTATAATGATATTTAAATAAATATAATATCACTTATACCTGAGTTTGGGTAAAGTTTACTTTAGCTTACATCCCAATTATTGTCTAATCAACAAAATTAAATATTTGTTTTTTTTACTCTACATTTTTTTATAAACATTTTGCCTTTTCGTTGATTTTTGTAATTAAGATAAGATGCTAAATAGGCATGCTTAAATGTATGAGTGGTCTCCGGTATGAAAATGTAATTTGAATTTACTTTGTATACCAAAAAATAATATTCCAATGTTTTACATGTTGGTGAGAATAAAATAGTTATGGATGATGTTTAAGGTCTGCAATGGGTTTTTGTTGTTAATAGTTTATTAAAAAATTTGCTCAACATCATTTTTTTAAAATCTTTTAGCTACAGTCCTCTTTTCATTTTAAAAAATAACTTAACAAATTATTAAAAAAGTTACATTCAAAAAATTATATTTTAATAAGGTTTAAATGTGCGAGAATAAAAAAAAAATGTATTTCACACTAATCCCGATTTGTGACCAATCCCTCTCGTCTGAATTATTTAACAACACTAATACTAATTCAAGGCATAAACAAGAAGATTAACTATTGAAAATAAAATAATGGCTGCAATCACTGTTATTTTTTCAAAAACACCTGGAGTGTCACTATTTTTCAAAACTTGGGGGTGGAATTAGCTACAGACCCCTCATTAACTATTAGGGTACAAAGATCGATCAATGCCTGCAATCAGAGAGCTAAAGTTTCTATCTATAAGATCTCGTAAAAAACTGGTCTGATACCATTCATTTCTCCTGCGGTGTCCATCAAAAATTATTTAATAGCTTCAGATACTTTATCTAAGGTTTATTTGATAGAATATGTCTTTTATAATAAGATAAAAGATGTCTTTTATAATTAGAAAGAGTTGCTTAACATTAGCTGGAGTTTGGAAAGCAGTTTATGGACAATTTGATTGTATCAATTTTTTACATAATTATACGATATTCTAACTTTTTTAAAACTCTAGATTAAATTAATTAAAATAAAAAATCAATTGCTCCAATTTAATTGCTTGTTAAATATAAAAATAAAATGTTTAATATAAAAGATCATTGCAAATTCTTAAAATAAATTATATAACCTTAAATTTCATTTCTTACTTTGTAAATTTTCTTAATATGTAAAAACCTAAAAATAAATCTTAAATTTTATAAAATTCTTCTTTTCTTAAATTGTATATATGTAAATAATCAGAAAAAAATAATATATATAATTGGAAATTGTAAAATAAATATAGAAAAATTGTATAATAAAAAATTTTAAATCTTAAAATCTGCCTTCCTTGTTCATGGTGGCAGCAAAGCTACTTCAGAGATATTTTTAGATATTTTTCAAAGACAAATTTTATATATGACTTTAGATAATGGAACATGGTCAAACTAGATGAAAGAGGATTCTGGAATTTTATGTTCAGAGTTCTTGAAGTACCTAGATATAAAAATGTGATATCTGTATCTAGATATTATTTTAGACGTATCTCTATCTGTTTTTAGATACTTTTAAGATACATTGATATATTTTAATTAACGCTTTTTTGTTATATAAATAAACTTGAATGCAAAATTTATTTTATTTCATATGAGTATATAATTTAATTATATATATATATAATATTAAAACTTAAATATAAAAAAATATATATAAATATTCATTAAATATTATATGCGATTTTATCAATAAACCAGACAAATTTTGATAATACAATGCAACTCAAGGAATCTGCCATTTTTATTTTCAATGGAATTTGTTAATTTTATTTTACTATGCTAATTTTAAAAATTTATTTTAGATTAATATTAAATTAATAGTGATGAAGAGGAAGAAGTAATAATCAATGAAGCATCAACAAGTTCAGACATTATTTTTTCAAGGACAATTTATAGAGCATATTTTAAATAAAAAAAACAGATCTCTGATAGTAAAATGTTTGCCATTTCTACAAAAAAATATAAGTTAGCATTACCTCAACTTGCATCATTGTAAAACATTTAAGGGTTAAGTTTCTAACTAAATGTTTACAATTGTAATTTTAAGAGAAAAAATCAAAGACTGTTAATGAAAAAAACAATTCAAAGATTAGTTGATGAATAATAAAGGTCTTCAACTTTGCAAACAAATAACCTGTGAAAAAACAAATAATTTAATATCCGATTTTTTCCAGTACTCCACAGCAGTATATATGATTGTTAATAATGATTTCAATTTTGATACTCAAATCATTTTTTCGAGAAGGAATGTTGAGATTTTAGTATTTTTAAAGAATACACTGATATAAAATTGTTATTCATAAAATATAATACCACAATCCTTTAAACACCCTGGTAGAAAGACTTTTTAGTGTAGCTAAAAATGTCTACATATAAACGAGGATGCCTTAATGACTAAAATTTTGAAAATATTTTATTACTGAAATCTAATAAATATTTATAATCATTTAATCATATATTTTCATATATTATATTAAAATCTAAAAATCATTATTTTAGTTAAATTTTGATTAATGTGTTATTTAGTCAATAAGATTTTTAGCCCATTTCATACATTTTCACAATAGAATCATAATTTAGGTTTATGCAAAGCTTTTATTAGAGTATTTAAAATTGTATCTGTATCTAGATATATTTTAAAAATTGTATCTGTATCAAGATAACTTTTTGGACGATGTATCTGTATCTAGATAATCTTTTAGACGATTTATCTGTATCTAGATCCATTTAAAAAGTATCTTTTAACAACTTTGGTTATGTTTATTTAATTATAAAACACGTAAGAGATGATAAAAAGAAAAAGTGAAAAATAATTGAAAAATTTAATAAGGGACCATAATAAAACAAAATCCATAGATAAATTACAAATTATTTAATATATTATGATAGTAAAAAATACTTTAAGCTTAAATAATTTACCAGATGATTTATTTTTGGCTATGGAAGCAATGGTACTGAGAGATAAAAGTTCAACTTATGAGGAAGTAATGTTTATATTAAAATGTTTATGTAATTATAAATCGGTAACGGAGATAAAAGAATATTATCCTAATAAAAATTTTCAATGTCAAAATTATAAAAATAATCATACGTTAAGTATAGCGGTTCGATTCGTTTCGGTTTTTAGTTTAAAATTTTATAAAAGTTTTGTTCCATGGTTTTTTTTTGAAAAAATTCATATCAGTTCGTTTCGGTTTATAATTTATAACGGTTCTTTTCAGTTTGTTTCGGTTTTTATAAATTTGATTTTTAAAAAAAATTAATCATAAACCATAATTAATCTTAGAGAAATTTTTAATTTATAATTTTATAATTTCTTATTTAATTTAACCATGATAATCTAATAGATATTTTTAGTAAATATAAATTAGATAAATTAATTTTTTTTATTTCATAAATAAATAAGATAAAAACAAACATGCGCAAATACAACGAGGAATAAAATAACGCATAAATATAATGGAATTTATATTATTTAAGTTTAAAAAGAGAATTAGAACGGATAACTAAAATATTTTCTAATATTTCACGATTTAGTTTAGTTCTCTGCCAAGAGAGTATAAACTTAAGGCTAGAAAATGCTCTTTCTACGGATACTTGTGTAGCTGGAACTCCTAGCGCAAATATATCTAACTTATAAAGTTCTGGTATACTAGACTTTACATTTTCCCAATAATTTAAAAGATTAGTATCTTTTTCTAATCTCTCTATATTATCGAATGATCGAATTATATATTCTATTTCTATACATTTATTATAATTTTCTCTCTGAGAATTATTCTTATTAAGGCTTTCGAGCGACTTTAATAAATCTTCAAAATCATCATCTTAATTATCTGAATGTGAACACGTCAGCATAGTACCTAGAATTCCAATATTCTAATTATTTAAATTTTGTATCAAGTTCCAAGTTAGAAGAAGTTTTTTGGCCATTGCTTTTTTTTCGAATGTTAAAAATAGGTACTTGATTTTTATTAGATTTTAGTTATTAAAGGTAGAATTATATAATTTTCCCTAAATTATTAGCAAGTATTATTATAAAAGCTAATTAATAACTAATATATACATATAAGAATAAACTTGTTAATTTAGCCAAGAATAAT